CCCACCCCCTGCAGAGCAGAGAGATTGCCTAAACAAGCTATCTCTTCCTGAGCTGCTTTTCTCTACAGCACAGCACTTCCTTAAAAAGTGCTAATGGCAAATTAACAAGCTTAGCTCTATCATCTTAATTTGCAGAGGCTGCCTGAAATTGACAAGACCCTAATCAGTTTCACACCAAAGGCCTTCTTTTGCCTCCTAAGTGGGCTGCCCAGAGTAGGCTAAGGAAACAGCTGGCGCTAGCACATTTCTTTCAATATGTACTCCCCACTGTGTGCCTGCTCACTTGGTTGTAATCCCTTCCTCTCCAATGAGTGTAAATACAAACATTAATTCTCTTCTTGCTAATTATCCCAGCGCTGGGGTGAGCATTCCAAAGAATGGGGAAGTGGGGAAAAAGGGTTATAAGATTTGCCCTTTTACCCAGCTTCTTCGTGAGTAGAGTTCCAGAAACTTTCTCTGCCGTTCAGGCTCACCCAGCTGTTTGGGGTCATACCCTTCTGATACTATAATGCAAAGGAAAGCGGAAATAAAACTGTAAGCACAGTTGTGGTCACATGATTTTTCACTTAGTGACCACTCTGCTTAACAACCAAGTTGCCAGTCCCAAATGTGGTCGTTAAACAAGGACTACCTGTACTGTTGTTAACTCCATGGAGTGTTTTTTTCAAATATGTCCATTTAGAAGATAAATATTAGTTTCTTGCTGCAAAATGATTATTAAAAAAGGATTGCTTACTAAGTTCACCTCTTGACCCGTCTCTTGGATTGGCAGAAAGAGGTCGTCCAGGGGGTTCCATCATCAGTGGTGGGGAAGGAGCTCCACCACTCACAGGTGAAGGCCCAAAAGATCCATCCCGACTTAATGGACCTGTTATATAGTAGAAATAATGGACAGGAAGTGTGGCAAAGTATCTATTTCCTCTTCTAAAATGCTGACTCTGAGACTTTAAACACATGGGAAAAAAACATACCTCTGCGAGGGAGAGTTTGATGGTCTGGCCGGCCTGCAGTTGGTTTCACAATTACTGGTCTCTGAAGTCCAGCTATTTTTTGATTCACCTCTATGTATCTAATAAGAAAAAAAGAAAATTCTTGAGGAAATTCCAGCTACTTAAAACAAAAATAGCTCTTACTCAGTGTTGTCTCTTAAAAGCAGTGGTCACATGCACAGAACATACTTTTGTCTCAAGCTGGCAGCTTCCCTTTTTTCTTCAACTAATGCCCTCTCTGCAGAACGTGCTATGAGCTATAAGAAGACAAAGTATATAAATCAGAAACTGTTAGGCAAACATCATCATCAGAAAAGAAACATCATCATCATCCATGATGCTTCTTTTCTTTTCGAATTTTTTGTATTTTAATCTTTCTGAAATTTAATGAAAATTTTAGACGTGTGTGTGCGTATAAATAAAAGAAACTATTAGGCAAATACCACCTGAAACCAAAAGATACTTTGCCAGAACAGCTGTTCAAGAATATCAAGAGCTTACAGTGGACAAGTGTAATGCAACAAAATATTGAAAGCTGAAATGTGATTCTTAAAAGAAAAAGCAGTCTTACCCAGTTGTCATGGGCCTTCTTCTCATGAGCAGCAATCTTAAAACATTAAAGAAAAAATGACTTGTTTTAATTTGCCCATCAGCTTATATTTAAAATTTACTTTTTCAGACTGTTCTGAAATAGCTCCAGACCTGATTTTTATAAGACCGCTCTGTTTTTTGCAATTCTTCCTCCATTTCCTGAATCCTCTGCCTGTTAAAGAAGATGAAAAGTTACTTCTATTCATAATGCTCTCCCTCAAAATCAAAAGTCATCAACTCTTTACATGTCAGAATTACTTGTAAATTTTAACTTCTTCAACAGCTAGGACTGCCTTTTCATCTGCAGCAGAGAGCTTCTGCTCTTTCTCTTGACGTTCATACTCTTCTTGTGTCAATTTCCTAGGACAAGATAAAAAGAGGCATAATGAAATATAACGAACTTATGTTCCATTTGGCAGCATCAATACCAAAAAGCAAGCAACCAGAGGAGAGGAGGTGGGAAGAAAGTCAAAGTAACCTTGAAGAAAGCGCTGTCTCCTGCTAAGGAAGGAGGAAGACTGTGCCCCTCCCCATTTGGGATTATAAGGTGTGCTGGCACTCTACTGTCCAGCAAAAACACACATGCATGAGAAGCCAATAGAGACAAGCTCATTTAAATCACCAATGCATCCGTTAAGAGGAGACCTCGTCTTACTTTAGAAATCTGAAACCTCCACAACAAAACTTCAGAGCTGTGACTGTCACTGAAGAAATGGTAAAAACATAGTGCTTAAAGAAACACACTAGCCTAAAAATCCAACCCTGTTTAAATGCAATAAAAATTGCAGTATGGATAAGTTTTGGGTTTCATATACAGGGTATTATGTTTCCTTAATGAAACACCTTGAAGGCAAACCTAGCACTTCTTACTACTTCATTGGGTTCCCTTTCTTTTCATACTGCTGTCCTTTTGTAATAATAACATGTAAGAATTCTACCGAAGGTAATAATTTTAGAAACAGTTTTATCCTGCAGGATAGCCAAATATAGCTTTTCAATGGGTAATTAAATATTTCAATATGGTGAACATAGGACTGGGGAGTGCTTGCTCTCTTAACATGCCATAGTGCTGTCTTCTTCATTATTCCAGGATTGTTAGCAGGTATGCCTGAATCTCATCACTCATGCCACAGCTGAAAACTGCTGCAGTAGAGGATAAGAGTTGATCTTTATATCAAGAAAGGATCACATTTTTACAGTTAATCCTTGATTTACAACTACCTGTAAGGGACCAGAATTTCCATCATTAAGCGATGCAGTTGTAAAGTGAGATATCACATGGCTGCATTGCTTAGTGATGGCAATCCCAGGTCTCCCCATTGCTGTCGTTAACTGAATTCCACCAGTTGTTAGCTGAGGACCCACACCAATCCAAGCCATTTCAGTCTTGATCCCTCCCAGATCTGAGCCTCGGTAAGGTAAGGGACTGCCCCTACCTGCCTATCTCCCCCCAACTCTGCCCTTTTGGCTGCCCTGCACCCTGCCTCGTGTGGCTCTGGGGCTGCTTGCCACAGCCCAGAAGCCACAGCCCACCCACTCCCCGCTGCAACCGCCCCCCTTCACCCCAAAAACCCCTGCAACCCCCGCCCCCC